CAGTGGGGGAAGCCACACCAAGGGGGACGGGATCCCTGATCGCTTCTCGGGCTCCAGCTCCGGGGCCGACCGCTACTTAACCATCTCCAGCCTCCAGTCTGAGGACGAGGGAGAGTATTTCTGTGGAGTGGGCTATAACACAGGTGGCAAATTCGCGGGGTTCCACAGTGACACAGACAAAGGGGAAGTGGGGCTGAAACCTCCCTCCCTCTGTCTGCTCCTCCCGGGGACTCAGGGGACCTGCTACCTTTCCCCCTCCTGGGTTCTGAGATGCTGACTCTTTCCTGTCAAACCCATCCCCCTCCCTCCTGCTCCCCAGGGCGCCCGGGGAAAAGCAAATGGGGGTCATGATTGGGGCCCTTGTGCCGACACTTACATTCTGATCCCCCCCCACCTGTGGGCAGGAGCTGGGACAGACCACCCCAGGCCCCATAGACCGTACCCCTGAGAGCGGGGCTGGGCTGACCACGTCTCCAGGAGCCACCGAGCCTGGGTTCTTGTCCAGGGCTCTGCACAGTGAAGGAACAGAGGCCTTGGGCTGCAGGGATGACCTTGGACGTCCTCTGTTGCCTCTGCTGCTCCGTGGAGGGAAGCAGGGCCCTGGCAGGACGGGGCTGAGGAGGAAGCGTCCGGTCCTCTGGAGGCAGGACAGAGCCCTGAGCCCCTGGGGGCTGCAGCCTGGGACCCAGGAGGGAGACGGGGCCGATGAGGAGGCCTGAGCAGGACCAGCCTGGAGCAGGGCCTGGCTCCTCCCGCTTGGGGCCAGGACAGGCTCCCCCTCTGCCCAGGCCTTTGAGAGACGGGCGGGACCCCGGCCACTTAGGAGAGACAGGGAGCAGGAGGGGATGGATCAGGGCTGAACCTGCAGTGACCTCTGTCAGCCCGGAGGCTGGAGCCACAGGGTCCAAGAGCCACTCCCACCCCCTCCCTGTGAAGGGCTGCTCTCTAAAGGGCTTCAGTGACTTTGTCCCTAACAAGGCCCCGCGGGTCCCTCCGCAGGACGGGTCCCCATCCCTCACCCTGCAGGGAGGGGCCAGGAGAAAGGCCCGGGTTCAAGGCGAACCCCAGTGTGGACCACGCTCACCCAAGGCCTCCCGGGGCCTAGCTGCCCATAACGTGGGAGAGTCAGCAGTAGCCTCGATGGACAGACAGAGGGACGCCCTGTGCGAGTGAGGACGGCGAGGGGAGGGGCAGAGGCAGATGTCCCTGCTGTGCTGAGACGGGCACCAGCCCATGCGGGCGCC